TAAGTTATTGTAATATCTCAATATTTTATCAGTACTATGTAAAATACCATGCAATCAAATCTGTACAATAGATTTATGCTGTGAAATTAAGTTTACTTGGACAGTTTAATGGGTAAAAGGCATACATTTTTGATAAATTCAAATATTGTCTGTATTGTATTAGTGTAAAATTCCAAACATACTGTTCATATATGCTGTTTGTTCTCGACATAATTGTAGTGAATAGCATCACTTTTGCTTCATTTCTGTGCTCACCTGCTCTGCCCAGGAATCGCAAAACCCTCACATGCTCAGTTAGCTCAAACAGTTGAGAAGTCCCTCAACTGAGCATAAAAGGGTGGAGTCGGATGCCTCTCTCTCAGTTGCATCTCACTCACTCAGTTGGTCATTTTGCCTCTCTCTCTGTGCACAGTCAAAACAAAGTGCGATCTTCTTCCTCACATCATACCCATGATATAATCAAATTCTGCAAAACTTTATTTTTTAAATTCCAGTTCTGTAAACATAAATTCTTTTATATGATTTAGGAAATCATATGAAATGCTGGCTGTCTCCAGTTCAAATAAAGTCTAAAAGTGCAAAAATCACCCAAACAGTTTCTGCTGCATTTGTATAAATTATATTACAGTTTCATGAAAGAACAACATCACACACAAGGTAAAGGTAGCTTATTACCACTATTTTAGGTGTAAAATTACCAAGAAAAAGTGACCAAGAAAAACATTGAGCTCTGCATGTGTGTTATACAGTTTGCACATCTGGTTTGACACAGTTGTCGGGTTTTATAAGGGCTGTGGTTCTTTGCAGTAGATTTCTTTGACTTGTTGGGAATAAAGTTCAACAATAAATGGACAGCACACAATCCATTTGTTTTTAAAAAAATATCTATATATTCAAAACAAGTCAAAAGTATGTACAAAAATTCATTACACTATTGATTATCACAGTTGTATCCAGTTTTAAATAGTCTCTTTTATCAAAGTCCACACAAGGGATTCAATTACTTTGGAACACCGTTTGACAAGACAAATTATTCTATCTCTGTTATTACAATACAAGTTGTGAAACTCACTTTAGAAATTGCCCGTTACAGCTAAACTGATACACAGTTTAACTTCACTTTCACTAACTTAACTTGCTCCGTGTCTATATCTGCATGTATTTAGAACATGCAACAGAAAAATCTAGAAATATCTAGCACTCTAGTAACAGTAATGTTACACATAATGAGAAAAACTTAGAAGTTTAGAGTAAGATGACATCAACAATATTAGAAAACACTAGTACAACAATTAAACTACATACACAATCTATGACTCGTACAGGGTTACATAACAAACTTGTCATAACTATTGCTTTTTAAAATAAATAACTTTTAACACTCATGTTAAGAAAACTAAATAATCATTAAATCACTAAATCAACTAAATAATAACTCTTAAACTAAACAGTCTTGTATATCCAATGATAGTTGCTGAATAAGAAGAGCAAGAAGCCCAAAGAACATCTAACTGACTGTTAATTTTGCATGATTAATGTTTCTGGATATTCAGGCAAAACAATACAATACATCAAATATCCAGATATTGCATCTGCAATGTAACCAGTACCTTGTGGGAGTGGTCTTCCACTGCCACATCTACCAGTGAATTAGAAAACAAAAGAGTTATCCTGAATCATCTCCATTTTTTTCATCTAGTAATTCTATTCCTGTGGCACTTCAACAAAAGCTGTCTCATCTGATCACACAAGAAGAGCTAAATGATCTGATTCATGACTTGTCTTTATCAAAGCAGCATGGGGAATTTCTTGGGACTTGTTTACAGCAATGGAATTTATTAGCTCCAAGAACAAGAGTATCAACTTACGAAAGTCACCATCAAAGTCATACTTTTCACTACATCATGCAAGATACTTTGTGTTTCTGTACAAATGTTGATGCACTAATGGAAGAATTGGGTACTGAAAATCATCCTCAAGAATGGAGACATTTTGTCAACTCATCTGAAGTTTGTCTGAAAGCTGTACCTTTGCACAATGGAAATGCTAAGCCATCAATTCCTGTTGCTTATGCTGTGAACATGAAAGAAACTTCTCAAAGCATGCAGATTATACATTCTTAAAATGCAATTTTCAATGAATAGATAGTTATTAAACAGTTACTTTAACAATATATAAGAATATTTTGAATGAATCTATCATAACTCAAAAACTAGGGTGATCAGTAATGTTCAACATGATGTTTAGAATCAACATCATCAAATTACTTAGAAACAGTTGCATTTTTTTCCAGTAGCAGAGAGAGAATTTTTTTGTTGCCCAGTGTTATTTTGCTATCTTAATTTATATGGCACATATATGTATAAATATTCAAGACACAGCTTGAATATACATAAGCAGTGGCCACCTGTAAAATTAGTGATGCTGTTATCCACTGTTGGACATATCTTGGTTCTTGCTCTAAAATGATGAAGTAGTGATGCAGCAATTACTCTTGTATATCCCAAAATGTTGTTGAAAATATTCCACACTGCATACACCTACATAATATAGCTGTTGTGGATAGATGATTTCCTTTACAAATTAGATAAGAAAATCCAGAGGCCATTCTTTCTACAAACATTGTAACCAGCATTCTACTAGAAGTCAATCTTTCAAGGTTTCTTACAATATTGCATTAGGTTGATTGAAGCAATAAATGTGATGTGGCATTGGCTTTAACACAGTTGTTAGAAGAATGTCTGTGGTCATTGAAAGATGGGTGTAAAAACTAGTTAAAGCAGATATCCAACACTCAAAAACATTTATCTGAAGCTCTCTCTGTGGATTCAGCATCACAGTCAGAATGACCCATTAACATATCTGTTGTTATTGCCTGTGCTACATACTTTAGGTGTAAGAGCAGTGGGGTGCTGTGCACTTTTGGCATCAGTAATCTTGTTCCTCAGATTCAAGTGCACAAAGAACACAGACTTACAGCACCAGCTTTCATACCTGCTGATGCTCAAGATTGTGCAACAATCATTGATGATTCTAATGAGACAAGGTGGAATGTGAATTACACTCAATATACATATGTGAAATGTGACATCTGTATTGGTGAGTTACAGACAAGATTGAAAATAATATAGATTTCAACATTTGTTGAATTAGGTGAATTTAATTTATGTAAATAAGGCTAATGCAGAGTAGATACAATTCCCATCTTGTAGATTCGTGTCCTTTTTAGAATAAAAGAAGGACTTCATCAAGTCAAGAATTGATGAGTATCCCATCAGACAATATTTATTTATTACAGGTTGTCACTATAGCAACTTACACATACTTTGTGGCTCAGCTCATGGGTCGGCAGTATTTGGATCCAGACATGGGCTATACAGGTTATGTTATTGACTTGTATGTTCCTGTTTTTACACTACTACAGTTCTTTTTCTATGTGGGCTGGCTAAAGGTAAGACACTGTTATTATAGTTATCTTTGTGTAAAGTATTCAAATAAGCTGTTATATGAGATTGTGTTAAATCAATATCAAGTGAGCAGTATTTGTATAGTAATAATATAACAGGCCCTCAGTGGCTCAGGAGTAAGCTTAAGGTTTTGTAACACTAGATTTTCAGGGTTTAATTCTAGTGATGGATAGCATTCAGATAGCCAATTGTGTAGCTCTATGCTAAAAGAAAAATATAATAGCAAATGTATACAAACAAATGTATGTGGCATTCCAGGTACTTCCATTTCAAATAATGACACCCAGCTTCAGGAAAAATGTGATTGGTGTGGATTCTTGCACTTTTATATAGTTTCTTGTAACAGTAACAGAGAGGATAAAACTAATCATTTTCACTTGGTCCTTCAAATAAATGCATACCTCACTGCACTAGTTTCATTGGTAATGAAAAAGTAGACAATAATCATCAAACTGTTGTAATGCCTAAGATACTTATTATGTAATAATTTAGGATGTAGCATAAAAAATGTTTGCCTGTAAATAGTTTTTAAAACAAAATCAACTTTGAAGAGAAGCATTATAATACTAAAGGTATCAATAAGAATTCCAGAATTAAAGGCAATTTATACAGTTGAACATGTATGTAGTACATAAAAGGTATTTATGAAAACAAGAATGATTAGAAATATAAAATCAAATAATTCTCATATTAACTGTAGCAGGACATTTAGTTTGGGAACATTATATGAAAAACGATTTCTACAGCAGAAAGAGGCACATATAGTAATCCTTAAGAAACATCAAGGAAGCTATAGCAAATAGGTCACATGAAATTGGTCCAATTTAAGGTCCAAATCAAAACAGGGTTTTCTTCCAATGAATATTGCAAGGATTCCTCTGTTTATAAAAATATTATTACAGGACACATTATTTCTGTAATTGTTTTGGAAGCAGTGTAATGTAATTTGGTACTCCTTATTGATTTATAATCTTAATGACTGTATTTTATCATAAACTAGCAGAGTATCCAGCATTGCTCGGATGAAAATGGCTTTAACTGTCCTGAGTTTCTTTGATTAAATCAACCTTATTAATTTTGTTTTTTTGCAAAAAATCAAAATGATTTTTTCACCTAACTAAAATTTAATAGAAATAAAAATATGCAAAAAAAATTTAAGATTTGCTAAAGCTATTTTAATCAAAGCAAAACCAAGTACATTGCTCCTGCTTCTGGCATGTGTTTTGTATGACATTTCAAGTTTCCAAAACAAAATTCCCTACCTTTTGGTGTCCTGATTTCTGCTGTGTGGTCAAATATTTTTGCAGCATATTTTGACTGTATTATCGTTCCATTTAATAAAGAATTGATTTATTCTCTTCTCGTTCCAACACAGTATAAATGAAAATTTGCTGATACCAAACATTTTTGTGAAGTCATCATATAGCCGATTCTTGTGAGTACACACAAGCAAAGCAAAAGATATAGCTGAAGCAAGCCTATTTAGGTGAGGGAACGTGTGCACATGTTCAAGAGAAAGCACCAGCCTCTTACAGTTAAGAGGAGTTAAAGAGTAGGCATGTATGTGTAGAAGAAAGAGAGGGAAGGAATAAGCATAAATGATTATTGATAGAAGAATTCACACAGAGAAGAATCGTAAATAATAGCCCACTTTATCACACATTACCCAAAAAATCCAGCCTTTTTCAATTTGAGACCAATTAGTCATCCTGTTTTCCAAAAATTGCTATATTGGTCACTTTGGCCTCAAGTTTGGAGTTTATAGCTTTAAATATGTGGCCGTGCAAAAGGAACAGACCTGCAGAGAGAGAGAGAGAGATTCATGCTTATATATACTTGCCATGACATGTTACATTTAAATAGTAAATAATATTCAAATTGAGTTGTTCCTAATGACTAAACTTGCATAGTTATTTTTTTATTATAAGTAGAAATTTTTCATAAATACTTGGATATTGTTACAATTTTTAGCATGTTGTTATTGTGTGCTAACTTTAAAATAAACTGATGAAAGTATTGTTACGACAACGGAAGTCATGCAATGCTGGTAGCATGTGCACTGGAGTTTCTCGAAGATCGTGAATTATCGAGGAACCCTGCGAATGTCCGAGTGTTTGTCAGGTGCCCTCTTTTTTAGTATATAAGCCCGGCAAATAAAACCAGCGAGAGATCGATAGAGAGATAGATATGCAGATAGATTGAAGATAGATATAATTGAGTCAAGCGAACAGTAGGCACCATAAGTAAAGTGTGTG